GCCCAGAGCCTCTCCCACACTGTGAACCCCTCAGTCCCGCCCCTGAACCCAGAGCGCACATTCCATCCTGCACCCCAGCCCTCTGTCCCAGCCTGCGTTAGCATGAGGGAGGGAGGGAGGAAAGAGGAAGTGAGCAGGGGTGGAGCTACAGAGAAGGGACAGGGCAGGGGCAGGGTAGACATTTGTGCAATACACAGCTGGAAGCCTTAGATGTGGTTCATACAGACCCTTACACGGGCTGTTGAAATACTAGAGCAGAACAATATTTGAAAAAATGGTGGAAATTCTCTTCACTGGTGAATTGCTCATTTTGCACATTTGAATAATTTCAGTGGAGCTCAGTATTAGCGGCCTCCGTTGCATTTCCTGTGGACAGTTCCTCAGCATACGTGGCAATCCCTTTTATTTCTGCGTCCTTACTATAGGAAATACTTGGAATACAGCAGTTACAGAGTGTGAAGGTGTGACCCAAACAAAAGATCCGGTCCTCTTCTCCCTTTTTCCCAGAATCCCTAAGCCGTCTTTTCCAGTCGAGTACATTTGTATGACTTATGGTCTGTATATTTACTCCAGGGCGGAGTGTGAGGGGGGCCTGGGCCCACCTTTGTATGGCTTATGGTCTGTATATTTACCCCGGGGCGGAGTGTGAAGGGGGCCTAGGCCCACCCTCTCTCCAGGCCCCAACCCAGGGCCCTAAGGTGGGGGATGTCCTCTCTCCCCTCACCTGGCTGATGGGGCTAAGCGCCTCAACTCATCAGCCCGCAGGCGAGCCTCCTTACGCCCTCCCTGGACTGCTTCCTCACGCCAGCTCACCAGGTCACTCCTTCAGCCCCTTCTCCTTGGCCCAGTGACCCCTCTCCCTGGTCAGATTGGCCCTCCCTCTTTTGTAGGCCACCCACCATCCCCCTCACTGGTCCTTCTGCGCCTGCGCCAGTGTCCACCGTGTTCGCTCCTCCCCCTCCTTCTCAGGCCTCTCCTGACCCATTCTCTAGTGCACCTGCGTTCCTCGGGTTCACTCCTGAGACTCCGGCACTAGCGTCCCCCATGCTGCACAATCCTCCCCTGCCCTCGCAGGTCTCTCCCGACCTGCCTCTTACTGCGCATGTGTCAGCACTCCTGAGGTTCGCTCCAGGGGCGCCTGAGCCAGCGTCCGCCCAGCGTGTTCCGGCTGCCGCCCCCGAATTT